TCTGTCACATTTTCTCAACCCCGAAATGTCCTAAGGCAACCCCGTCGTGTCCCTCTTGTAGCAGTAACTCCCGTAGCAAAGTGTAGCCTGGTAGCCAGATGCGATCCGTACCAGCTTTTACGTAATAAACCCCCTTTGCTGCTTTGAACTGTTGTAAATTTCTCCTGTGAAATTTGGGTTTTTCTGATAACCGTGGTTAAATAGTCCTGTAAGCAGCGGACGAGTAGTATGGCGTGTAATTGGGCAGTCGGGCGGGGTCAGTGCGTCGGCGACCGTGACCGTGTAGTGAAAATTAGATTTCAGAAAATTTATCCAACGGACCTGTCATGGGTTGGATGGGGTTGTGTGCGGAGGTACTATTGAGATTTGTTGTCCATCCGTACTGTCACATCACTACCAGTCAAGTAACAAGGCCACACTTTGAACGAGTGCACATTCGCGAGCATTTTGCGGTCGTGTATCGGGTTATTTTTCTTGGGCGGGTGCGGTTTTTGTGACTCGTATGCGATGGGCTGTAATCCGTTGTCAAAGTCCTATAGCAGTACTTCTCCGATGGCGATGTTGCTAGAGTCAATAACCACTTTGAATGGGCAGTGTGGGTCGACAATGCGCAGTATGGGCGGTGAGCAGAGAACTGTTTACAGGGCGGAGAATGCAGCATGCTCTCTCCCCCCCCCACGTAAGTGGGGCAATTAGACGTGCCATGTTGGGGACGAACCAGCGGACATGATTAACAAACCCCAAAAAGCTCTGCAACTCCGTAATATTGGTCGGGGGGCGCCACACTTTGATGGTATCCAGCTTTTTTTAGTATATTTCAATCCCAGCTTCCGAAATGACGTGCCCCAAAAACTCTAACTGATCTTGAAAAAACTCTCACTTTGAACCCTTCGTCAGTAGTTGATGCTTGTCTATAATTTTGAATACTGCTTCCAAATCCGTTAAGTGATGCAGCTTATCCCGACTGTAAAATAAGATGTCGTCGAAGTACACGATCACGCACTAGTCTAAGAGTGGCCTAAAAACCTGGTTTATGGTCATTTGAAAAGTTGCGGATGCATTGGTCAGCTGGAATGGCAACACTATGTATTCAAAGGATCCGTACCTAGTTGTAGAACTTGTCTTGGCATAGTCTGTCGATTCGACTCGAATCTAGTAGTAACCGACGCTTAAGTCAATAATAAATATACAAGAAAACCCTAGCTGTTCGCAGTTGATCAAATATCAGCACGGACGATGGATTATCTCGATTTGTTTGTTACTCTGTTCAGTGCGCGGTAGTCGATGCACATGCGAAACCCTCCGTCTTTTTTTTTTTTTTTTTTTTTTTTTTTTTTTTTTTTTTTTTTTTTTTTTTTTGTGAACAGTATTGGTGCGGCGAACGGTGATGAGCTCGGTCGAATGAACTTTTTCTCCAGTAGGTAGTCTAACTGATTTCTCAGTTCGTCGAGCTCGGGCTGTGTCAGTTGGAACTGTGGTTGTACTATCGGTTGTGCCCCCGGCTCTAACTTTATGCGGTGATCGTGTGCTCGCTGAGGTGGGAGTCCCTCCTGGATGTCGTCAGGGAAAATTCCCGGGCATCGTTTTAAAAATTCATGAAGTTCGGGCAGTACGGCTGCTAGCAGTTTCTAAAAATCACTCGGTTCCTCATCTTCTCCCACTTCCGTGACATCCACTGCGTACACGTCAGCTCTAGCGGCGACGACCTGTTTCATTGTGATAGCGTTGGCGTGGACCGTTGAAGACTCAGGCGGTCGCGCGACCCAGTTACCGCCGCTTCGCACTGGATGACGATACAACCGTTGCCAGCGAGGTCGCGCGACCCAGTTACCGCCGCTTCGCACTCTGCATCAGCCTATTGTCCAGTCAATTAGCGGGTTGTATCGTCATCCAGTGTCATCATAAGCATTTCTTGTATAAATATGAAATTCACCCCGTGGCGAACCTTCACTCTTTCCACCTTTTTCCCGTATAGGCGGCGGTGTGCCGTCAACTAAGCTTGTGTAGAATTCTGGTAAGCAGCAGCTAAGTGTTAGTTGCACCTTCCTTGTAGTTGTAGTATTAACTACACTATGAATAGCTCCTCCGTCGATAGAAATCTTCAGTGTTTTCACGTAGACAAGTTTTGGGCCAGCTGTCGCTGTACCCTCCTCATTCAGTCGAGCTCGATAGATTGCGTGAATCGGTACCATCACTTGGTGAGGATAAGTGAGGTCGGGCGAGCAGTGAGTCTCGTCAGTAGTGGGCTAGTACTCTACTGACTGTTGGCGTTTCCCTGCCTTCCAGACTCCCTCCCATGCTCTGCTCTACGACGCCTAAGTTCCTATGGGCATTAGTTCCCGGCCTGTTGCATTCAAAGCAGCGCCCCTTAAACGGCGTGGCAACTGCGTTTGTTGCAACGGCGTATACAATGGCGAGGTTAAAGCGCCTCCAGCGGGTTACAATACGAACTTGGAGGTCCATAAGATAACGTGCAACGGCTGTTGCGGGGAGATGTGGTGAAACTACTCAGCACAGTGAGTGACAATCATGTCAGAAACTGAATGATGATTGACTATTGTGGGTTGGGGTACATAAACCTAACCCTAACTGCTGTACCCCATACGACGCGCATCACTTAAGGCTACAACATTTGACAAATCATATGATTTTCTGTTACATTCAAAAAATTCCAACATCTAGTTATGTCTCTTCCTTCTGAGCAGGTGGATGTCACTGAGGTGGCGAAGACCATCGACGCGGTCACATCCGACCTCGAGGATAGGTACCTTGACACCAAGGCCCTGTTTGGGGGAACTGGCAATGGATGGCTGCCGAAGTTTTTGATGTTGTACGGGGAGTGTGGAGGGCAGAAGGTTTGCATGCGTGGCGTGTAAAGTGAAGGGAGGTCTTTTACGCACACGTACATGACGCTCGAGCGGCCAAACAAGGGGTACATCTACCGCAGCGCAGTGACTACAACGACTGTGTGAAGGATTGTGTTGACAGGCTAGTCTTCTCCTTGGATGATTTGCGGGGGATGAGGCCGACGGAGCTGTTTCGTGAGTACACCTATGATATCTGTGATAATATACTGTGGAGCTGTACAGCTTGGATTGTGCACAATTATTATAAATTTTAAACACATTCGTGCTTTTTTTTTAATTGTGTATTGTGAAAGCGAAGCTGCCTGTACCGAATATTTGGCAGCGTCGAAGCGCGCTAAACGCCCTTCTCCAACTACAAAAACCGTGGGTTGGAGTTCATTCCCTCCACCCACGTTTCTCTATTTTCAACGGCTCTATCAACATTTCCGTTCGATTAGTTTTTTGCTTCCGTCCAAGCTGACTAGAACTCGCAGCCTACCGAGAGGCGTGTCACCCTCAAGTTTATTGCGCGACATTTTTACCTACAATCACTCAACTATGGCGTCTACGCCGACACTTAACCGCGGCAATTCGTCGGCCCCGACTTCCGACGCCGACCGTAACGCCCGAGAATTGACGGGCGAACGCCGCAACAGGCGGCGGGCAGAGGAAGGAACGCCCATCCGACTGCAGTGGACGTGCTGTTGGGCGGGCTCGAGGTCAACAAAAACTCGAGCACCCCCATCCAGCAGCACCCTTCGGCGCCTGTGGCGCCAGTGGCGCCTGAGGCACCCGTGGCGCAAGTGGCGACGAAAACGCCTGCAGCACCTGTGGCGCCACATGCCCCTGACGCCCAGCACGTGCCAGCGCTTGTGGCTGGACCGTCGCGTCAGCGCCAGAGGCGCCGAACTGCGTCTTCATCTGACGCAACGACCCCAGCGTTGACTCTGACGTTGACCCCGGACCAAGTCGCCGCACTTCTGTCCCTGTTACAGCAACAGCCCGTCAGCGTTACAGCTGCAGAAACTGCACCACCAGCGGCCTCTGCTTCTGCAAAAAAGGAAACTGCAAAACACAAAAAGGAGTGCGAGGAACAACGGCGAACTGGCACGACAAGGAAGCAGCAGCCAACGCCCCACCTGCGCCAGCTGCCGATAATGACACTGACGACTCCGACGACGACAATGGTGAGGCTCCAGTTAATGCTCCAAATTTTATTTCCGTGGAATACCTCCCCCCTCTCCCCTCTAACACTAACACCACGTGCACCACGTGGTCGCCGGCGACATTCAACAACACGGACGTGCGGGGGAAAGCGAAGGTCTTGGAGGACATGAGGGCCTACCTGAAGCACACGGAGTTCAAACTGCAGAACGGCGACTTGGCGGGCGGTCTCGAAATGGTCGTTGCCGCTCTCGACGATATTGCGGCGCGCTTCGAGGTGTTTCAAGTCGAGGATGCCGCCGACGAACGCGTCGCCAAGCGCTACAAGATGTACCTGCAGAAAAGCTTGCTCACTTCGCGGCCATTCAAGCAAGCAGTCGCGGATGTTGCTGCCATGGACCGAGCGGCGGCCGCTCATGTTCGCTTCAACCGCGGCGGAAACCACGGCGCGACGACGTTCCCCCCAAAGCGTGGACCGCCGCCATCGGGCAGCTTCCACGGCTTTCGCGGCTCGTGCTTCCGCTGCGGCCAGCCAGGCCACGTCGCCAATGCATGCCCTCGGAACGGGCAGGAAGGCCAAGGACCCGCACCCGTCGTGTAGGGGTCGGGATATGGCCAAGTGTGCCATTGGGCATGATGCACGGTGCACTTTCGAGTGCTTAGACCGTGGGCAGCCTAGTAGGGCTTGCGGTGGCCATGGGCCAGCCCTAGGATAGGGTAGTATGAAATGACCATGAGCTTAGCTTTGGGGAAGAGGAAGAATGCCTCTCGGTCCCCTGTATGCCCCAATTGATGGGATGAAAAGCATGCTAGTGGCATGAAATGAAGGATTTTTTACCCATTACTTGGTGGAAAAAAAAAAAAAAAAAAAAAAAAGCGAGGAACAAAGCAAGGAGGAATGGAGGAGGAGAAAGAGAATGAGAAAATGCATCACATGTGCCTCACTCAAACTACCGCTGCCGTCTACGGGAAGGTTGGGCAGCCATGGGCTCATTGAAAGTAGGCCCTAAAGGGCACGGCGAAGAATGGAGCGTATAAGAACAAATAAAGAAGGGGAAAGTGGGGGAGCCTAAGAGAGGGGACGTGCGGAAGGGAACGGGCCCAAGCAAGGGAGGTCTGCATATCCCTAAATAACAATATGAACATGGCGAGAGAGGGAGAGAGAGAGAGAGGGAGAGAGAGAGAGAGAGAGAGAGAGAGAGAGAGAGAGAGAGAGAGAGAGAGAGAGAGAGAGAGAGAGAGAGAGAGAGAGAGAGAGAGAGAGAGAGAGAGAGAGAGAGAGAGAGAGAGAGAGAGAGAGAGAGAGAGAGAGAGAGAGAGAGAGAGAGAGAGAGAGAGAGAGAGAGAGAGAGAGAGAGAGAGAGAGAGAGAGAGAGAGAGAGAGAGAGAGAGAGAGAGAGAGAGAGAGCGAGAGAGAGAGAGAGCGAGAGAGAGAGAGAGAGAGAGAGAGAGAGAGAGAGAGAGAGAGAGACCAACATCGTTGTAAAACGGAGGGGGATCATACCCATACGCCGGTTGGCATGCAACGCATTCGCTCAAGCCCTCTAGCGCATAACGAGAAACCGGCAGCATTGTTCATACTGTTGTCGAGTTATCTTTGGCACATGCATACACACGTCCGGTTTATGCATTGACTAAGAAATGCGATACCCTGTTCCATCTCATTGCCATGCCGTAAATACACAGGCGCACAACAATACGAGGTGTCACGCAACGGCAACCCGTACAAACTAGCTGTCAATGACAAAACCGTCACACAGATGTGCGGTCGGTTGCGCTCGACATTCGCATGGTGGAGCTCATGGTGCTCTTGTAGCCTCGTCCTCTCCATAATCGCTAAGGGGTACTGGCTTCCATGGAGCCATGGCCCACCACAGCCCTTCCGTGAGCGCAACCACGCCGGGGCATACACGCATGCTACATTCACACGTACCGCCATCCAAGAACTCACAGAAGCCGGAGCGGCGGTTGAGACGGCCGCATGTGAGCTCACAGGTATCAGTCCACTCAACGTGGTCGAGCAAAGAGAAAAATGCAGGCTCATTCTGGATCTGAGGAAAGTCAATGCTAACTTAATCATCCCCAAGTTCAAGTACGAAGGGCTCAACCGCGTGGCAGACTTGGCACGCGTTGGGGATTGGATGTTCTCCATTGACCTCAAATCCGGGTACCACCACATCGACATCCACCCCTCGTGCTGGAAGTTCCTCGGCTTCGAATTCGAGGGCCGCACTTACTCTTTTCGGTCATTACCGTTCGGCCTCGCGACAGCCCTATTTGTCTTCACACAGCTCATCAAGCAGCTAGCCCGACGCTGGCGGGAACAAGGCATTCGAGTAGTACCATATGTCGACGACATTCTCTTCCTCTGCCAGTCAGAAGCCCACGCGCAAGCTACATGCCATCGCGTAATACTGGACCTTAAAGCGGCAGGTTTGGTGATTAACGCGAAGAAATCGCAGCTGACACCATCGCAACACCTGCGATTCTTGGGTGTGGAGTTGGACACGGACACCGGCCGATTCTCCATCGGTTTAGACCGACGAGCCTCACTGCACACCACACTTTGGAACTTACTGAGCGCACGTAAGGCACACCGACCAGTCCCCGTCCGCCACGTGGCCAAAGTCACAGGGATGCTCGCATCGATGGGCGTGGCACTTGGTGCAACAGCCCGCGCATTCAGCCACGCCATGTTACAAGTGATCAACGACGCACCGTCATGGAAAAGCAGTGTAGTCATCCCTCCACCTGCAGCTGAGGAACTCAACTTCTGGCTTGAAGAGTTTGATCGATTCAACGGTGCACCATTTCACGTCCGTAACAGCTACGACGCTGTAATCCATGTCGACGCTAGCGCTCACAGTTGGGGCGCCACTTTGACCACATTCCCGGGTGGCCTCGAAGAAGCCAGCGCAACCATGCCAGAGCTGCTGCAAGCAACGTCCAGCACATGGAGGGAGATCGAAGGTGTTCTCTGGGCGCTACAAACGTACGCCAGCAAGATCCAAAAGAAACACGTTCTCGTGCGGGTGGACAATCAGGGCATCTTTTTCATTCTTCGAAAAGGCGGCTCCCGCAGTCCATACCTTACCGCAACCTGTCAGGGGATCATCCAGACATGCATGGAGCTCAAAACACAATTGATCATCGAATGGATCCCGCGTCAGCTAAACTCACACGCCGATGAGCTTTCCAAAATAATCGATCATGACGATTACTCATTGAAGGCGCCGTGGTTCCGCATCTTGGATCGTCGTTGGGGTCCCCATTCTATTCACCTCTTTGCAAATGCTCGCAACTCCCAACTGCCACGCTTCTGCACGAAGATTCCCCACTCAGAGGCCACAGCAGTCGATGCATTCTCGCTCGCGTGGACATCAGAAAACAACTTTGCCTTCCCCCCCCCTCACATGGTTCCGGCTGTCCTCCACCACGCACAGCGAACCCACGCATCGCTCACACTGATCGTCCCACACTGGCCGGGTGCAAATTGGTGGCCACTCCTACAACCCTTTCCACGCACCTGGGCATCGCACATCCATGCGCACATCCCTCTAACACATGGTAGCCAGTGCCTAGTAGCAGGAACACACTCCGCTGCCTTCTCCGGCGCCGGACTACCACACAGTCCAATCATCGCACTTCGAGTAATATTCGACTAATTTATCACGAATACGCCTTGTGTTCAGAATTGCTCCCGAAACTACACGACCAACACTTCAACATGATCTCGCGATCTCGCGCCGATTCGAACATACAAACCCTACTGAGCCAAGTTCCGTGCTTTCTGCACGAAGGTGGACCTTCCTTTTCTTCCTACATCCAACATGACCCTTGCGCTATACCTGGTGTACGCAATCCAACGCAAAGCGACCTTGTCCGCAGTGCAGCTCACGTGCTCAGCAGTCAGCTTTGTCCATCGCATGACTGGAAGTAAATGCCCGACTGTTGGACCATTCACCACCTAGGTACGCGACTTCGCAAAACGACACTGCCCGCGACCTAGCCGTCTGAAGGAGCCCGTGTCAATCCATCAAGTTCGAGACATGTCCGCGAGCTACCTACAGTCGGACAATCCTGCTGAATTTCAAAAGGGGTTGATCCCCATCCTCATGTACTCCGGATTTCTGCGATACTCCGACCTGGTAGCCGTCCAATGGCAAGACATCCAGTTTGACGATGAGGCCATGTGGATCCTGATACCACACTCCAAGACGGACCAGGCTGGCCATGGAACCAAGATACCCATCTCAGCAACGGTAGACCCTTGGTGCCCCGTGCGCTGCACACGGCGCTTCATCCAACTCGCGGGCTATGGCCCGCAATCGGAGGGGCCGCTGATTCGCGTTTTCGGCCATGCTTCAGCCAACGAGGGCCATAAAAGGCCACCATTGTACACGACAATCCGGAACTGGTGTAAAGAGGCCTTTGCAAAAGTTGGACTTGGAGAGCAGCAGTTCGGCACACATTCCTTCCGAAAGGGCACAGCAACCATAGCAGCAAACACCGGCGTGCCAGACAGGATATTTAAAAGGCTGGGCAGGTGGCGGAGCGACACAGCCGAGGAGATGTACGTCACTCCATACGTCGAACCTCTGATCAAGGCCTCCCGCAACCTACAAGACCCGACACATGCATTGTCCTCAGAGCAGCACACAGAGGCACTCGCACGACACCGAAAACCCCACTCCCCATGTCTCAGAGACCCCAGTTGAAATGAGAACGATGCCAAATTACAAGGAACAGAAAGCAAGCTTTCTCAATATTATGATTTTTTAAACGCATTCGTGTTTTTTAAAATTGTGTATTGTGAAAGCGAAGCTGCCTGTACCGAATATTTGGCAGCGTCGAAGCGCGCTAAACGCCCTTCTCCAACTACAAAAACCGTGGGTTGGAGTTCATTCCCTCCACCCACGTTTCTCTATTTTCAACGGCTCTATCAACATTCCCACCACCCACCCCAGCACCATCTTTCGTTTTACGGTCACTTGGACGGTTGGCTCCATAGCTAGTATAGTTCAGTATGTACTTGCATGTGTTTTAGAACGATGCAATGTTGTAATAAGCCAGTTGCAATGAGAACGATGCCAAATTACAAGGAACAGAAAGCAAGCTTTCTCAACATGATATTACTACCGTATCACCCTGGATAGTAGCGCCGTCCTATTAAAAGCGCCGGCGCTTCTATCTGGAGCCATGCGCTTATGGCCGGTCCTCAATTATAAGCGCCCCCCCTGGAAAACCTTTACTTATTATAAGCGCATGTATGATTTTAATTCGAAATCTTGTTTCAAATGGTAGCGAGTTTCGCTAATAGATACAAAGAAAGAGCAGGTGGTTACACTAGAATAGTCAAGGCCGGTTTTAGATATGGTGACGCAGCACCGGTTGCTTATATTGAATTTGTTGATAGAGATATAAATGCAAAAGGCAAGTTCAATTTCTCTTCCGCTTTGTTTGACTCGCGAAGTCCTAACTGGCTGCGCGTCCAGTCAGGATGTGCTGGCATGAGGTGTCTATGACTGTAGGTTATGGCAGAGTATCGCTTCCGCGCGATTTTGGTTGGTGACTCGAAAATATTTCGACTCGGTCGAAATGGCAAGAGTGAAATTGTACAATCTGGTGCTCTATATATAATTTTGTATTTGCATTATATAGGCGCATGCGCTTATGCCCTAGACTCAATTACAAGCGCCCCCCCTAAAAAAATAATTTTATTATAAGCGCATATGCGCTACTATCCGGGGGGACACGATATGTCTTTGTTCCGTCACTTACAAACTACGGTAAACATAAAATGCTTATACCAATACGGTACAACACTATGCACAATCCAATGGATGAGTCCAAAAAAACAAAATGAAATACTGCGGCCATAAACTTATTATATCGACAAAACAGGGAAGTGTTCAAGCATGGTAGTTATGGGGCTGCGTTTGTTGTGACATGTGTCAATCTAGCCTAGACTTAGGTGGTAAGGTTACATGAATGGCGAGAGAGTTGAGTAAGAAGAATGGGCCATTTAAGTATACCAGACGTAAGTACAAGTCATAGAGCAAGGGAAGGTGGCAAAGGGGTACACCACCATTAGATATAATTTTACGGTGATGCTACAATAGCCATCAACGTGCAGTTATATAATACAATACACATACAAACAAAATGGTATGCGCACACAAATAATGCACAGGTACCGGTACGTAACGCCGGATGCTCACTACACAACAACGCAAACCCCGCTTGCGAGGCTAACGAGCGCCTGAGAGCGGCTTGCAGGAGATGTTGAACAAATGAACCTTACTCTTAGCACAACCTCAATGCACCGACGCCTGGAGAGCAGCAAAGGCGTCTTCACAACAGCGCATGAGGAGGGCTGGATCCGGCACATTCTCCCTCAAGGCTGTGAGGACTATGTGTGCTGCCCCGTTGTATGTCTGAAAGTGCCTGAAGGTGAGAGGGGTTGGGGGTGGGGGAAGGAGATAGGGGAGAGGGTTGCGGGGGAATTCGCAGGGAAGGGTGATTGAAGGCAATGGCGTTTCATTGTAGGTCTACAAATCACGTGCAACCATCACGCATCACTCACACATGCACCCACCTTCACACATCATCTCACATGCACCCATCACACATCACCCACATGCACCCATCACACATCATCTCACATGCACCCATCACACATCATCTCACATGCACCCATCACACATCATCTCACATGCACCCATCACACATCATCTCACATGCACCCATCACACATCATCTCACAAGCACCCATCACACATCATCTCACATGCACCCATCACACATCATCTCACATGCACCCATCACACATCATCTCACATGCACCCATCATGCGCCACTCAGATGCACCCATGCTCACATCACACATGACTCACATGCGGCTCTCCCAGGAAGGTGGGGTTGATGCGCTCAATGGCATGCCCCCACCAGGCTGACCTCCTCCACGGGCCCCATCAGCACCGTTCTTGTATGCATACACTGCATGCATGCTCCCACCACACATGACTCACATGCTCCCACCACACATGACTCACATACTCCCACCACACATGACTCACATGCTCCCACCACACATGACTCACATGCTCCCACCACACATGACTCACATGCTCCCACCACACATGACTCACATGCTCCCACCACACATGACTCACATGCTCCCACCACACATGACTCACATGCTCCCACCACACATGACTCACATGCTCCCACCACACATGACTCACATGCTCCCACCACACATGACTCACATGCGGCTGTCCCAAAACAGCAGGGCTGATGCGCTCGATAGCATGTCGCCCCCCTCACCACACACACACACCTACCCACACAGCACTTGCAACGCAGCGATTGAATCACCCACCAGACATGACTCACCTGCGGCTGTCCCAAGACAGTAGGGCTGATGCGTTCGATCACATGCCCCCCCAGGCTGACCTCCTCCACGGGCCCCATCATGTTGGAGAAGGCGATGGTCGTCTGGCTGCACAGGCGCCCCATCAGAGTGCATGCTGCCTGGGAGGGTTGGGAGGGGTTTAGAGGAGGTTAAGAGGGGTTAAAGGGTGGAAATAGGGGAGTTCAGACAAGAGGGCAAGGGGCTGAAGGCCTCCTCCACGGGCCCCATCATGTTGGAAAGGGTGAGGGTCGTCTGGCTGCACATGCGCCCCATCAGGGTGCACGCTGCCTGCGGGGGATGAATGGGATTCACGGAGTTTAGAGGGGTTTGGAAGTAATGAGCCTCCAGCGACCTTCAGGTCAACTAGCTCACACGTCGCCTCTTTGACTCAACGCTCACTCACATGCATGCCAGCAGCGCGAGCATGAGCCTCGCGTTGACATAGTCCAAATGAGCCTCCAGGGACCATCGGGTCAACTAACAAGTCACATTCTTGACTCAAAGCTCACTCACCTTCATGCCAGCAGCAGCGAGCACCAGCCTGCCGTTGACATAGTTGCAATGAGCCTCCAGGGATTGCCGCTTGGACGCACACATGCTCGCCACCATGCACAGCCGCCGCTGCTCCACCTCCCCTGCTGTGCACCCTTCTTTGCTGCCCTTGCTGTCACTGCTGTCCGTCTGCAGGCCTTTGGTGAGAGCGGGCGAGTGCACGGGCAGGGGCAGCAGGAGGGTCCCGATGCAGTTGCCCCAGCGCGCCTTGGATCGGCCAGCAAGCATGGAGGATATATCCTGGAAGGAGGCAGAAGAGAGGAGGTAGGGGCGTGGAGGGGAGGGGAGGAAATGGAGGGGGCTGGTCAAAGGGGAGACGGCACAGAGGCAGCAGGAAGGTCCCGATGTAGTTGCCGCAGCGCGCCTTGGAGTGCCCAGCGAGCATGGAGGATATTTCCTGGGAAGAAAAAGGGAGAGGTGGGAAAGATGGGGCAGGAAGTGAAGGCAAGGGGAGGAATTGACAAGGGGAGATGGTGCAGTTGCTTCGGCGTGCCTCGGCATGCGAGCATGGAGGATATTTCCTGGGAGGGAAAGTGGAGGAGGTGGGGAAGGTGGGGTGGGAAGTGAAGAGAATGGGGGAGCTGGACAAGAGCAGATGGTGCAGTTGCTTTGGCGCCAACAGAGGCTGGCAGCGGGGAGGTGGCAACTGGAGCACGTTAATCTGAAGTTGGTGATATCGACTGCCAGGCTTACCTGGGGAAGGTTTACCTGAAGCCCAGGCAGGGAAGGGATGCTGACAACGCAGATGGTGCTGCTAATGCAAAACGGGGCGGTTAGAGGGGAGGTGGCAGCTGGGGCAAGTTACTTTGAAGCTGGTTTAGTAAATACGCCGGGTTTACCTGGGGAAGGTTTACCTGAAGCCCACGCGCAGGGCGGATGTTGACAACACAGACAGCGTTGAGGCGAACAGTGGCGGGTAGCGGGGAGGTGGCAACTGGGGCAGGCTCACCTGAAAGCGAGGAGGGAAGGGTGATGAGAACGGGGGACAGGAAACCTATGGTTGGAGAACAATGGTTGGCAGAAAGAAACAGGGTAGAAGGTTGAGGGCGTTGGAATTGGGAGAGGGTAGGGAGGTGAGAGAGATGGCAGAGGGAGAAAGTAGTCGGGTGAGGGAGTTTGGAAAGAGGGAGAGGATGGAGGGGTGAGGAAAAGGTGTCAGAACTAGCTGTAGAAAGTAAGAATGAAGAAAGGAGGGTTTGCACTAGCAGCAGTTGGCATACATATAGGAAACCCTAATTGGGTTGTACTCGCTATAGAGTACCCCACTGCAGGCTAGAGCATAATATTCTGACACACCCCCATAGCCAAAGTGGGGTGTAATCAGCAGAGAAAGCAAAGCAGTACAAGCTCAGGGTGGATCACAATGTCACCACACATTCTGAGCACAAGTTTAAGAAGCAATAGTTTAAAGTGCACAATTATGAGCAAAGCTAGAGGCAGTTACAGAGGGCAAGTGAGGAGGAGGAGGGCTGGCGAGAGGAGAGAAGAGTGGAGGCGACGACTGAAGCTGCAGACACACGGGCAACAGACGGCTCTGGTGCAACTCTAGTGGCTACCGGGAGCAAGGGCCCCGGAATACAGGAGTAACAGGCTCTGCGTCTGATCAGCAGCGACAGGAGCAACGGACCCACGGGCGACAGGTGCAACCGGCTCTCTGAGCTACCGGTGGCTATCAGAACCCCGGAATACAGGCGCTGCAGACGACACGACGGCTGCCTCCACCCAACCTCCTCCAACTGTCCCACACCCCCCAACACACACCCCCTGCTGAAACCCTAGCTCCACTCCCATGGCACCCCCCTTAAACCCTAAACCCTCGGCTCCCACACACCCACCCCCCTGAGCAGCAGCTGCAGCAGTGGGAGACGGAGGAGGAGGAGGAGCAGGGGACGGCTGACAGAGACGGCACCCCCATACGCTCCACCCCCAAACCCTAATTCAGGAGTACGGGCAGCAGCAGGGGTGGGGCGCCGTCAGAAGCGCGAGGGACGGCGTGCAGCTCAGTGGGAGAGGAGACCGGGCGCCCGCGGGCCAGGCGCAGCCCGTACGAACCGCGCGCAGGCGGCCCGAGGCGCGCGCGGGCCAGGCGCAGCCCGTACGGGCCGCGCGCGGGCCTGGCGCAGGCCGTACGGGCCGCGCGCGGGCCTGGCGCAGCCCGTACGAGCAGCGCGCGGGTTGTACGGGCCGCGCGCGGGCCTGGCGCAGCCCGTACGGGCCGCGCGCGTGCAGAACAGGCCGCGCGCGGGCCTGGCGCAGCCTGTACGGGCCGCGCTCGTGCAGTACGGGCCGCGCACGAGCGATGGGGGCGACGCGCGGGTCCCCGGGGGCGCTTCGGCGGGCGACGGGGGGAGAAAACCGCCGCGCGCCTCGGGGCGCACGGCGGGCAGAAAACCGCCGCACACCTCGGGGCGCACGGCGGGATGAAAAATCCGTCGCACGCCACGAGGCGTGCGACACACAGAGTAGCAGTAGCAGTAGCAGTAGCAGCGGAAGGCTTAGGTGGTGGGCCCACCCACAGGATCGACCCAGGAGGGTCGACCTGCTCTGATAGCATGTCAGAACTAGCTGTAGAAAGTAAGAATGAAGAAAGGAGGGTTTGCACTAGCAGCAGTTGGCATACATATAGGAAACCCTAATTGGGTTGTACTCGCTATAGAGTACCCCACTGCAGGCTAGAGCATAATATTCTGACAAAAGGAAGGTTGGGGGAGATGCAGGCGGTGGCATGGATAGTGAGAGTGAGGGGATGGTTAGGGGATGTTGGAGTGAATCCAACGTATCTGCTCTGCAACATCCCTGGTCCGCCTTGCCTTGCTCCCTGACTGACCTGCTCTCTCAGCCTGGTCGTGGTTGCATGCAAGAATAAGGGGTCGAGCCTCACTGGAAATATAAAATTCCTGACAGCTACCTCCCCTGCAGGCCGTACGGTCATGAGAGAATGAACTTGACGCACCTGCCTACTCACAGCTGCTCACAGCTTGGTTGACTTTTGAGTTGACTCAAAAGTCAACTTGAGTCCACTCAAGAGTCAACTTGCGACAATGCCTACCTGCTCTCTTGAGCTTACCTGTTCGTTCTGCCTGGGCGTGGTGGAGTCTGCTTGTTCGAACAAGATAATCCTACATGCTCGTTTTGCCTGCTGCTTGTGGTGGTGGCGCAGGTAGCGATCGAGCCCCCCTGAGATGACGGTTACCATCACATCGTTGATTGTCTGAACGGGGTGTGGTGTGGATGGGATGTGAAATATTCTTTTGTTGGCTAAAAAGTCGTGTTGCTGGTGCAAGTCAAGGTCGAGCCCCCCTGAGATGACCGTCACCATCACGTCGTTGATGGTCTGATGGGCGTGTGGTGTGGATGGGGATGGGATGTGGATGCGATTTGGAAAGAAGGGGATTTCAAATGACACCACATATTGTTCAACGGGGTTGCACTATACAGACTGGCTGATATCGCAATCCATGGGAGCATGGCATCTATGGGAGCATGGCATCTATGGGAGCATGGCATCTATGGGAGCATGGTATCTATGGGAGCATGGCATCTATGGGAGCATGACATAAGCTTTCCCCAACACAGCAAAGTACGGCCAGCCGCATGGGACTCACTGCTCCAAAGGCTCGCCTGACCCGTGAAATGTCCGTCAGGCTCATCGGCCCACTCACTCCAAACACAAACCCCCCCCCTCCATCTCCACCATCTCCTCTCCCATCCCCTCCCCCACCACCCCCTCCCCCAGCCTGCACCTCCCCTAACCCCTCATCCGGCTGCTGCTGCACTGCACCGCTCCCTTTTCCCCCTTTCACTGCCTTCAACCGCATGCCACCACTCCCAGGCTTCATCTTGATGCACGTGGCAGTATCAGCGTGCCACAGCACCACAGCCATGAACGTTGACACGAACCAAAGTGTGTTCGCCAGCACAGCTACCACTTGCCACATCCGCCTCCCCACACTCACCAACCCTCCCCCTGCACCTCCCCCAGCCCCTCTTTTCCCTACCGCCCCTGCCTCTTTCCCCAAGGCACCCCCACCACCCGCACTCCCATTCCCACCCGCATCTGCTGTAACCCCTTGTGCTGCTGCGTCTGCCTGCCCAACTGAGTCTGGGTTGAACGGAGACACAGTCATCGAGTCAAGTGTAAACGCTGACGCTGCAGACGGCATGTGTACTTTCCCGGGCTTTAACTGCTCCTCCTCCTCAGGCCCACACGAGTCTCCCAGCTGCTTCCTCAGCTCCTCACTCTCCTCAACCACCGCCGCTGCAGCGCCACTGCTGGGCTGGGAGCCTGCACTGCTGGGCTGGGGGTGAGTCTGGCGTTTGGCGCTTGGGAGGGTGGGCAGGAGCGCGGGGTTGTCGGTGCGGCGAGTGCAGGCCAGCAGGAGAGACATGAGCGACACGCCGTCGCCCATGGAGTGGTGGATGCTACGAACGGGGGGGGAGAAGAAGGGATTGCAGGGGGGTGGGTAGGCCTGAAAGGAAGAGGGAGTTCGAGACATGAGAGACATTATGTCGTCCGAGGCATGGTGGATGCTGCAGTGCAGATGGACCGGGGACGAGGGGGTTGGTAGGGGGATGGATAGGATGGGTGGAAGAGGGAGGGAGTGTGCCCACGTTCGCCCAGGCCCAGGAAGATGGAAAACGTGCCTGTAGCACATGTCGTGCGTTTTGCGAGTGCGTACAGGTTCTCGAGTCGGCTCAACAATGAGAAACGGGTCTGTCAGACACACGCCTTCTGCAGGTGCTTCAAGGCATTGTGCCGTAAAAGAGCAGCAAAGCGGCCATGGGGCAGACAGGCATCATGGGGTGCACGCGGCCAGAGATAATATCTACAATGCGCCTGAGGCATGGGGTGCACACGCGCCAGAGATAATATCTACAACGCGTCACGAACAGTCTTATCACAAGGTACCTGATAGTGAGCTAACATGCACCGGAAGAGAGCACCAGAGAGGTCATGGAGCAAAGGCACGAGGCGCCATATAACCGCCTGCTTTCAATACACAAGCCATCTGCGAGTGAGGTAACAGACAGCATCGTACCGGAAGAGAGCAGCGGAGCGGCCGTGAGGCAGAGGCACGAGGTAAACGCGCCAGAGAGGGCGGGAGGCGTCAAGGGGCTTCTGGTGTTGCAGGCGCCGCATGTGCCACTCCATGCTCCCCGCCTCATAGCACGCCGATTCCATCGCGGAAAAGGCAAGGGCCGAAAGTAACGGATCTGTGACTTTTCCGTCACATTTAGGTATACGTTTTTTTGGTAGAAAAAAGTGATGGTTGAAAGTACCGGGCGAGCGGGTCACGAAAATGTCACTGCGAAGTCCCCATTTTGCCACGAAAAAGTCACACTGACGTCACAGCCGCAGTCACACAAAAGTGACTAGACAGTCACACAAAAGTGACTGGACAGTCACTACAATGGTACGGAATCGTGTCCACGTGTAACCAGATATTTTGCCACGTGTCCTTGTTGATGATTGGTCGATAAGGACCAATTACATGTCAGTTGTGGGTGTGCCTAAACGCATTTTGATTGGCTGGCGATTGTGGAATTGGACCTGGTGTCGCACACGAAACACGGCACCGGTTTGCATGTCAAAATTTCAGGGCAGCTAATTTTCATCGCTTTGCTTTGAAAATGTTTCATTAGCCAGGCATGCGTACATGGACACAACTGTCAACTGTGGACCTTGAACTGTCAACTGTCAACAGTCAACTGTCAACTGGTATATGGGCTTCACGATCCAACCCTAACAGTACGCCCAGCTACGAAAGGACACCAGGTTTTGCCTAGGCACTAATTGACCATATGGTCATATGTTCACGATGAAATCAGCACGGAACTTGATAGCACCTGAGAAAATTTACGGCAACAATAACAGTAGATAGTGAGTCGTGGAAAGCATAGGACACAGCATGTGAATTTAGCAGCGCGAACAGAAACATAACCGCGCAATGCACGAAATGACCAGCGCCTTACCTTCCTCCCAAGCTCTTCGTCGTCGAATTTGTCATCGTATGAAGGCCCACTATACTCCGTCATAGTTGTGCGCAAATGCTGCCAACAAAAAGGCAGATTTTATCTTAGAAATAAATGGAAATAGCATTTCCGTGACGGCGTATGCAAGGGGAAACAACTGGGAGCTTTTGGCGTGTGAGAATCGTTACACCGCAACAGGCACTCACCAATACTATTGGCGGACGGCGGCTTCTAGTCTCTAAGCGCGCGGGAACGAGCGATGTTGCTTAGCGCCGATGCTAACCCTGAGCTACTCTGGGGAATGGAGGTGGGAGGGAAGGGGCAGAAGTCGAAGAGGATAGATGTAGAACGAGATGTGCAACCATGGCAAAAATAGGATAGCGCCAGGTGTGGGATCAATGCCCTACGTCAACACAAGTGGCGACAGGGCACTAACCGAACCTGTCTTCCAAAAGGACTGCTCGGGCAACGGCGTCCCGTCGCAAGGCGTGCGGAGATTCGTTCGGTGACGCGGAAACGAACTACAAGAGGGGGGGAAGGTTGGGGGGGGCAGGGTGGATTCAGAGTGAGATTTGTGGTTGCGAGTAGCTGACGGATTGCCCCATCATTAGGGACCGGAGGTGTAGGATAGTAGAGTGCAGAGTAGCTTCAGAAATTGCTTTCAGAAGGGGCCAACGATGGCAAAATCTCTAGACAGAGAGCTTGAGGGGATGAAGTGATGAGCATAGTGAGAAGAGCGAAGTGTGACTTGAGTGGAAGAGCCAAACTACAAACTGTCAGAAGGTTTGAGAAGGCTGTGGTGGGCATAGAGCATTTGTATGGAGACGAGGAGGGTTTCAAAGGGGGAGGATTTGGGAAAAGGGGAGGGTTGGGCCGTGGGTTGCAGGTTCGGTGGGCTGATGTGTGGATAAGGGAGGCTGAGAGCGTTGATTCTGTTTTTGTGCGCTGCAACAATTGGTTGAGACGATTCGCGAGGCTCGGCTAGATTGGTTCGGAGATGTGGGTGGTTACCAGAGGTGTGATGTGGCAAGTTCGAAACATTAGGTTGAGGTCTTCCTGACTGGTTGAGGTGTACGGGCTTGGTTGGGTGTGTTTGGTTTGCTTTTGTCACTTCCCTTGCTGACGTGTACATTTGACGGGCTTCTTGGCTGCAATAATTTGTTGGCGAAATCAACAAACGTTGTTGCCCAGTTTATTCTTCCCTCGCTAGCTGTCGTGTGAGTTCGCCTGTTTTTGTGTCACTGTGCGCAAAGTTGGGTTGGTGAACTCGGCCAGCAACACAATTGGGAATCACATTCAAATGCTCTAAACCACTCTGATTTTCCATATCCGACCACACCACCCGAACGTGCTCGGTGCTAAGTCCTTCGCGTCACTGAATCGTGACCTTTTTGTAACGGTTCGGCCCTTACGTGGGCCCACGGGAGCCAAAAATGTGCGCCTGACTTTTCCGCGATGTCCCGACTCGCGCTTCTTGCTTTTGCCTCCACTGGCTTTGCACCTCCCTCCGCAGACTCCGCCTTTCCTAAAGCTTCTTCAGATTCCGCCTGCCTTGTAGGTTTTTTCGCGCTCCCTGCTGCTCCCGCGCTACTGCCGCGTTCATCATCGGGTTGTGCGCCGGAGCGCTCCGCGCTGTCCGCGTTATTGTCATATCCGTCGGGTTGTGTGCCTTCCACGACGTGGTAGGCCATGTCGACGGTCGTCCGCACCCACACCTGCTCGCCGTCCTTGCAACGGCCGCGGTGCTCCTGCGACATGATGATGTTCCCATTAGGAAAGCACAGAACCGCGTGCACTAAAATGACTTGATAAATCAATAACGAAGCAAGCGGCGTGAGAATGGCTTCGCAGGACCCGCTTTGGGGCGGGACGGGCGCTATTTGTCGGACGAACGGTATTAAACCGGACGAGATGATGGGGTGGGACGAGCAGAGTGATAATTTGCGTCTTAAAAAGCGGAATGCATCCCCACTTGCAACGTGATGATGAGACGAGCGATTTGGGACACCAATGGAGTAATGGGTTAACGGTGCGTCGTCTTGAGAAACCTTTAAGTTCGTATCCAGCTCATTCTTCAAGATCCCGGCTTCCTTTGTCTAACAAGATCCCACTTTCGAGCGATATTCTTTACCATGCGACTGTGCGAGGATGTTTCAAAAGGGTATCCGAGAGAATCGTTCTGAGCTCGCCGATCTCCATGCGGTCCTTCAACTCCAGCGCGCACGTAATAGTCGTGTAGAACTCGTCGGAAAGATAAAAACGAGCTGTTGGTGACAGCGGCTCGGCATCGCGGCTCGGCTCTTTCAGTTGCAATGACGCGTCTGAGTCGTCGGCCTCAGGCTTGACTTTTATTGGCGGAAGCTTCGGATTAAACATTTTCGAAATGCAGGGAAAAAAAAAAAGGTACACATGTTGCTCAACCGCTGCGCTCGAATTTGCCCTGCACGCGCCAGAAACTCTGCACGCGTGTATTTGGGGCCAGCCAGTTGCACCCCCTTTACAAGCACCTCGAGCAAGTTGCAGTGATTTGAACCAATACGAACCACAGAAAACGAAGCTTGACCGAAGAGACCGAAGTCAAAAAGTCAACGGCGAGTTACAAAACTTTTTATAAGCCCTTTTTGCTAAGTGCGAATTGACGAAAGCTTAGCGAAATGCAAGAATTACTCAAGAGCCCCCTTCACAAGGCAACCTTGGGTTAGTCAAACGAGCATCATCTGTACTTGGTCCAGGGTAGTCAAATTGTCAGGACTGCGTAGACTGGACGCTACCGATAGTAGCTTTGAACCAACGTTCCCGAAAGTGAGCTGTTGAAAGTGGGGAGGATGAGAGAGTCTGAGTGATCTTCTTGACACATGATGGATGGTCCTTGTAAGGGGAGTCAGGATGTGGTTCTGGCTGGCTGGCTGGATTACCGCCAAATCGTGCCATGTGGTTCTTAGGGCGCTTAACCATTTTGCACCCGACGGTTCGAACCGTGGACCGTCCGTCGTGGCGAAGGGTTACCATTTTCGCTCAATGTCGTTAGGTTATTCGCGAGGACGTTGGCGACGTCGCCAAAAGTTCGAACTGTCATGACACTTTTTCCCCTCTCCAACGTCCCGAAACTCTGACATCGTACCGTCCGAATCACAAACGGGCTGTCCGCCAGTCCGCGCACGCGATTGGCGCGCGATATTGAATTTCATCGGAACGCCTCGCTAAAGCATGGGAAAAAGCGACTCGGTGGCATACATTGACATTGACCAATCACAACTAGCCAACCTACAATACAAGAAGCCACGACATTGACCCACTACTAGACACTACTCAGTTGTCTGCACAATGGATCCCTCTAGCTACGCCCAGAACACCCATTGGTGGTATCCTGGTGACTCCTGCTAGTGGGGGAGGTGGAAGGGCAAATGTAAATGATGATGGTTCCGCGGATGTTTCGAAGCCCGATTTCACCAACTCCCGCTACAACCGAAGACGAGAAATTTTGCGCGCGAGGGGGGGAAGGATCCGACGGTAAATGACGAACATGTGGGTACATTTTCCTGGTCCAGAAACGGGGTAGCTCATTTCACGCTAACAAGCAAGACGGGGTACAAACAAAAACCAGGGTTACTCCATATCCGAAATCAGAAGTCACCATCAGACAGAGTACCTCACTAGGGTTTGCTCTAAGAAGGAGACGTGGTTTTTTTTTTTCCAAGGTCTGGCGCGTGTATAAGGGCGAATCAGCGAAGCAGTCTTCTGTTTTACGGGTGGAATGTCGGTTTCTCCTCTCCAACACCTCTCTCACATGGCTGTCCCACATCCCCGTGAGGAGTGGTTGCCAGAATGGGGGGCGAGGGAGGCAAAATTTGCCCGATGAGGAAGGTGGGGAGGGTAAATGTGCAGCTTCCAAAGGGGGCACATCCCTGAGGGTAAATGAGCGTTCTATTGGCATTTACCTTCGGTTTGGTTCGGAGGGCAAATAGGAGGCTCGGCACGGTTTTACGGGCCGACCGACGTCTCGACCCAAAAATCTCAGAGGGGGGAAGATTCCTATTTCCCCTCGCTCCCCCTCCGCAAGTGCCTAGAGAACACCACCATTATGACAACACCACTACCAACTCCCCGCCACCGGGCTCTACCAATACTACCACTCCTGCCACTGCTGTTCCCGAAACTCAAGAGTCACAGATACCTGGTCCTAGTTTGTCATTTGACATATCCTATGTTTGTCAGAAGCGCATAACTCCACTGGCGAAAATTGCGATGGGTTGTGACTGGCGTTACTGGTGTGCATTTGAGATGGCGAAGGGAAAACCATCGCGAAACCCTAGGATGAGGAAAAAAGTGTCATAACTGACTTCGGACAGTCCGAAGTTGCAAAAATTCAAATCGGACAGTCCGTTTCGTTAAAAACGTACCGTCCGATTCCCTATAATCGGACGGTACGTCAAAAGAAAAAAATGCAAAATGGTTACGCGTCCTTATGTCAAAATATATATGTGATATATGTGTGTAGGCTGTAGTGGGGTAGCCAATATGGGGTACAACCCCATTAGGGTTTCCTATTTTGTACCAAACTCTCTTCCAGTTTCACTCATTCCTGTCTCTAGACTTCAACCTGGTATTCAGAGCAGGAGGTCCCTAGGACCTCAGGATCGATTTTTTTTAGGGCCCACCAACCACTGCCTGCGGTTACCGTGCTACCCCACGCCCTAACTGCCTTGCCTGCATGCCTGTCGCGCTGCCCTGCAGCCCCGCGCGCCGCCCGTCGCTTTGCCCTGCAGCCCCGCGCTCGCTCTGCTCTGGCCAGTCGCGCTGCCCTGCAGCCCCGCGCGCCGCCCGTCGCCTTGCCCTGCAGCCCCGCGCGAGCCCTGCCCTGGCCCGTCGCGCTGCCCTGCAGCCCCGCGCGTCGACCGTTCCGCTGCCCCGCAGCCCCGCGCGCGCCTTTCCGCCCGCGCGTAGCCCATACCGCCGCCCGCACGGCCCGCACAGCCCGCTCTGAGCCACGCCCGCCCGCGCACGGCCCAGCCCACCGCCCGCGCAGCCCGCGCAGCCCGCCCTGAGTCACGCCCGCCCGCGCACGGCCTGGCCACCGCCCGCGCAGCCGGTGCCGCCCGTCCCGCCGCCCACACGGCCCCACCCGCAGCCCGCGCAGCCCGTGCACCGCTGCACCCTGCCTGCCTATAGCGCCTACCTGCGTCGCGCCTACCTACCTGCCTGGCGCCTGCCTGCCTGCCTTGCGCCTGACTGCCTGCCTCGCGCCTGCCTGCCTGCCTAGCGCCTGCCTGCCTGCCTGGCCTCTGCTTGCCTGCCTGCCGTGTGCCTACGCTGCTACAATGGCAACGCTGAACGTCCTTGCCTTTGAGCCTGACGGTCGCCCGATACAATTCTCTACCTGGCTTGACGATTTGCAGCTTTTCCTTATGACCGATGCCAAAGATGGCGTTTCCCTTTTCGATCACGCTACTGGCACTGCCGCTGCTCCTGCTGACAGTGCTCCTGCTCTTGACCGCTCACAGTGGCAGACTCGCGATGCTGCTGCGCGCCTCGCTATCCGCAACCACCTGCCGATCACTGAGCGCGCGCATTTTAGTCAGCACAAGACGGCTAAGGCGCTGTACGACGCGGTAGTTGCGCGCTACTCCTCCCCAGCCACTGCCGCTGTAGGACGTCTCATCCTGCCCTACCTGTTCCCCGACCTGTCCTCCTTTCCCACTGCTGAGGACCTTATCTCTCACCTCCGCGCTAGTGACGCCCGCTTTCGAGCCGCTCTTAAGGCCAAGTTCCTTGCCGCCAACCCCCCTCCGCTCTACTGGACCCTCTATCTCCTCGTCACCCGCCTCCCTGACACCCTTAGCGTAGTCAGGGACCATTTCCTCGCCATGGATCCCACCGAGATCACTCTAGCAGACTTCGAGCAGCAGCTTCTCGCAGCAGAGAAGAGCATCCTAGCTGTCGGTGCCGCTAGAGGTACTCCCCGCACTCCCCTCTTTGAGGGGTGCTCCCCCTCCCCCCTTGCCCCCTCCTACGCCTCTGCTGCTACTGCCGTTGACCTCCCTGGCACGGAGCAGGTCGCAGCAGCTTCCGCCCCTAGAGGGAAGCGCGGCGGTGGCAGGAGCGGCAAGGGTGGCAAGGGTGGTGGAGGCGGGGGTGGAGGGAGCGGTGGTGGAGGCGGCGGGGGTGGTGGGGGGAGTGGAGGTGGTCGCGGGGGTGGAGGTGGTAGGTGGGGTGGACGTGGGACAGGGAGTGGTGGGGGCGGCAGCGGCGGTAAGGGGGGAGGAGGAGGTGGAGGTGGTGGAGGTGGTGGGGGCGGGAGTGGGACCGGTCAGCAGCAGCAGCAGCAGCAACAGCAGCAGCAGCCGCAGCAGCAGCGCCAGACCCCCTCTTCTCAGCAGCTTCACGACTGGTATGCTGGACGTGGGGCGCCTGGGGGTTCTGGTCGTTGCCCCTATGTCATTCGTTCTGGCCCTCGCAAGGGTCGCACGTGCAACGGTTTCCACACTGAGTACCGTTGCTTTGCGCGCCTCAGCGACGCCTGGCGCGCCAAGTTCCCTGATGCCACTGAGTTCCCCAACTGGGCAGATCTGCTTAGGCGTGATGTACCTGTCTATGATCTTGATTATGATGCAATCCTTGCTGCCATGTATGCATTGACTGTTAGTGCTGAGGGTGACTGCTACTTGTGCGTTCCGCCTGACCCAGGTATAGAGACTGCAGCCCTAGGTACTAGTGAGTCTGCCCTCTCTGGTACTGCGTCCGCCCAGGCCTTGCACACATTTACACTTGATTCTGGTGCTTCGCGCTGTTTCTTTCGCGACAGTACCGCAGTCACCCCCCTCCCTGCACCTGTTCCTGTCTCGCTGGCTGACCCCTCTGGGGGCCCAGTGCTGGCACGAGCCTCGACTGTGCTTCCGTGCCCGGCGGTCCCGTCCGGTGAGCTGTCAGGTCTCCATGTTCCCTCGTTCTCTACGAACTTGGTGAGCAACGCTGTTCTTCAGGATCACTGGGTTGACACCTGGACTCCTGGAGGGCAGCGTGTGGCGATCTGCACCTGCTCTCGGACTGGCCGCCACCTAGCCACGTTCACCCGTGAGCCAGGGTCTAGTCTGTACACCCTCACCACTGTTTCACGCTACACTCCTTTGTCTCCACAGCTGTACGCGTCTGCTCAGGTAGCCACCCAGTGTGAGTGCCGCCGCCTGTCCCACGACACTCTCCTTTGGCACCACCGCCTTGGTCACCCCTCCCTGCCTCGCCTTTGTAGCATGCACTCTCGCTGCCTGGTCTCTGGCCTTCCCAGGTCTCTCCCTGCCCTCCCTCCCTCGCCTGCGCCGCCCTGCATTCCTTGCGTCGAGGGGCGGCAGCGCGCTGCTCCTCACTCCTCCTCGTTCCCT